CATAGAGCCTAATCACACATGAGCTATTGCAACCATAAAGCCTAATCATAACATGAGGCCCTTGTGCTGCATTATACGATATCAGGTATTATTACATTTATCTCAAGCTCCCTTTAAGCAACTCTAGCGCCTAGTTTACTATAAAAAATCTTAATTAGTGATAATCACTATAGCACCTGCACTATGTTTGTAATTAGGCCGATATGAAACACCCGTAACACTTAAATTAAAAAAAAACCGGGAAAAATATATACAATTATTTTATAGCAAATAATAATTAATACGCATTACTCATCCGCACTTTTTGCGACAATGATTACAAACAATGAGCATATTAGTCGCGCACTTTAAATAAATAGCAGATCAGATCTACCTTACGTACATTAACACATTTGTTTCATTCAGCATTATCATTTTGTATTGTCATATTGAGCTTTTCAAATGCATAAAAAACACCGATCGGGTGTATATTTGGTTTACTAAGATTTTGAGTTGTTACGTACGTACGTACGTACGTAAAAAAGTTAGGACGATAAACTACAGATACTGTATAACTTAAATACGTATATACATATCGAAATTGCGAATTTTATTATGGAAAATAGTGAGTAAATTAATCATTAAGAATGGCACGAGAAATAGACATCATAATAAGGCCTAGAAAGAAATAATAAATATTCTTGTAACCTAAAAAACGCAAATTTCAGGGAAAATATTTCCGCAATTTTAATAGTGTATAAATTTATGCTTCAGCACTAGTATAAATCCATTATATTTGAAAAAAGGAAATATTTTATTATGCGAATTTTAAATTTATTATTAGCCTTAATAATATGTACAGTATATACTTTGAAACTTGTTAGGTATATCTTTTCAAAGAACCATAGTATCATTATAATAATTTAAAGCTATTATTTTCTCTTAATTTATACTTTAAAATTCATCTATAATAGAGTTGGGTAACGAAACCAGAAACTATATATAAAATCCCGAAACCTTTTCCGAAACTCTATACTATACTGAAAGGGTTAGAATTTTAATTTTAGACTTTAAGACATAAAGTACATGATAATTAGATTGCATCTCGGAAATGGTTTGGTTACTTTATAGTAAATGTGCATTAGTTATTAACATTTTAATTTGAAGGTTTCGGGTCACAACTCTAACCTATAAGCATAAGGATTTTTAAAAGAAAAAAATATATTAAGCATTTTCAGATGGTTGTCTTTTTTTTTTACTGTACTGATTAAAGTAGCGATTATAAGTCGCTAAACCACTATCATGACATCATATAAAACGAAGAATAAAGCTCTTATTTTAAATAACCCGGTAGATTTCCAGTCATATGAGGGCTCCTCCCTCAAATAACTGGAAGCTGCAGTAATACTTATTATTATCCAATAGTAGTGTTGGGTTAAAATTTTACACGAGGTTAAACAAGAAAACTCATTGGTTAAGAATTTAATCGTACGTATGATGCATGGATTTTGTGGTGCCAAATAAGATCTACTCCAAATTTCATTTTGAATATAAAACGTTACATTATTTTCATGATTTCTCGGAACTGTAATAACTTTTGGCCGATGCACGATTATCCTAGTAATCTCAATAACATAGATCAAAATGATCAGAATGATATTGATTAATAATTGACTGATTTGTTCTGTTCATTTAGCCTATTCAATCATGTTAAATTTATTGAGTACAATTCTTTTTCTTATATTATTCAAAGATAGGAACAATAAAGTAGTACATGTATAATCATACATACGTACGTATGTACGTAGCAGGTCACAGTGACACATTAAATGGTTGTGTATACTAATGTAGTGTTCATTAGAATTACCATTCATGTTTCTTTATTAGGCAATTATTCCCGTTCGATATTTAGTAAGCAATTTATTGAACGCATAACCTCCGGTTGAATTTCTTTGAATCATAATATATTTAGAAAAAGTTTTAGGTTTATAAGATTACAGGATTAAGGAATACCCCTATTATTGAATGAATCGGAACAATTGTTGAACCATTTTTACGATGTTTACGCAATACAAAGAACGAGAGTTATTGATTTTTGCTTAGCCCTCGGAATATTTATTCCTAAATGCAGTATTGCCAGAAAAACGCACTAATAGCATCCTTCGTGTGATGAGCCACCAGTCCATAGCAAAAAGAAACATATTAATGCCATAATTCGGAAAAGAACAAAGAATTTCAAAATCGGATGTCTAATTTTCCGCTCGTAAAACAAGATTTTTTTGAGACAAATACGTAATGCACTATAAGACTATAACTTAAAATTATATAATTGGTGTTGGTTCGTGCTTTTAAATTCATAAGACAAGCACATCATTCTTCCATTTTTGAATTTGAAAAGTAGGTTTTTCGTAAGTAACCTGTAGAATTTTATTATGCGATGCAACACGACATTTGTATTGGCACAATCACTAGGGCTGTTCATAATTTTGTTTATGGTATTGTTAGTAGATTTGGAAATCTGATTATTAATCATGTTATTTGAAGATATTCAGAATTGTTGTGAAACGATTTAGTAAAAAAAACTAAACAAACCAAAATTTGTGAACTTATTCGAATGACAGAGTTGATTAGACTTTTTGAACCTTAATGTTGGTCCTATATTAATTGGATAATAATTAAAAAGAATGCCACAAGACGACACGTACAAGACAGGTTTAAAATTTTATGTACTCTCGAATTTGTAAAAAAAATCGCCTGTTGTAATTTAATTATATATATTCGTAGATAAAATAACTAAATTGTAATATAATATAATCATATATTTGTTATTAGTTTTATTGCAAATTAATTATTATAAATTTAAAAATATAATATAATATATATTTACTATAACAAATTAAAAGTTAAGCGTAAGCCAAAAATAAATGGTACAGTAAATGCCTCTGTAGATAAATTTATATAATGCAAGATTCCTCAAAATAGTAAACCCACCATGATTAGACCCGGGTGCGATCCAAGAAATATTTATTAATCATAAATACAAAGTGTGTATAGATTTTAAATTTATTTTCGCGTACAACCTTTCAGTCGTGCCCTAGACCCGGGTCTACTAAAGGTTTTAAATTGGTAAAATGAAGTAGACCTGGTCTAGTAAATACGCACTTTTACAGCACTAGAGGTCCAATCCGGATAAATCCGTCATCCACTTATCCATATCTGAATTTATCCGGATATCCATTTACTATTAGTATCCGGATAATCCGGCAAATATTCGGATAATTATCAATAATAAAACGGATATCCGAATAAATTCAGATCTGGATATCCAATAGATAAATGGATAAACGGATAATGGATAGGAACTCTATACAGCACTAATGGTAATAGTAACAGTAAATCAATTTTGCAAAAGGCAACATTAAATTCATTATTATATTTATAGCAAGTGATATTTCACGCCTCATCTCTAAAATTCTATTTTTATGTACGTACGTACGTTATTTGTTCTTTTTAAAGTTGGATTACTTGCACAAATAAGTACAAAGCGATATGCGCATTATTTGTACTTCATAATTGTCCGGGTTCCGATTGACAATTTCTCATGATAACAGGATAAGGTTGAAGCCTCAAAATCATGGATCTTTCTCTTAATTAGATACAAATGCCTATCTAGCAATTTATCGGTTGGAAATGTTTGGTTAAAAGAATTAAACCAAGAATTATTGAAAAAAAATTAAAGCATTTTTGCTCAATATAGCACTGATACAAGTTTTTTGTTCATGATTAAAAAAATTAACGTTCGTACGTACTAATTTCAAAAAAGTAAACAAAAATGGTTTAATTTAACCTTTTTTTATCGCAAGAAAATAAACAAACAAAATTTATTGTATCATGTAACATAAAGTCCTACGTATTTTTATAAGGCTATATAAAGTTACTTTTTTGGCTCTCATAATATAAAAGCTTTAAATAAAGTGACCCATCACACTACTCTTGATTTTATTTTTAAAAAATTATAAGTTTATATAAAAATTTTTTCTTTGATCTAAAAAAAAAACCACCCGGATAGTAAAAAATTTTTTTAAGTCTATCAAATTTGACCCGGTCGGGTTATCAGAACCAAAAAATTAACTTTACTTAGCCTAAATTTACTATTCAGCATTAAATTTAATTATCAATATGGATCAAATTATTAATATCGATCTACCTGTGTCTGTGGTTTTTTTTGGGAGCCCCGGAGCGGGAAAATCTACTCTTGCAAATATGTTGCTTCAAGAGGATCTTTGTTCTAAAAATTTATTCCCAATGAGTGATAGTGCAGCAGGTGGAAATTCCGAAATAATATTCAGTAGCACCGACGTTTTTGCAGTATACGATACGGTCGGACTGTGTGTAACATCCAAAGGCAAAGTTTCAAATAAAGATGCTATCAAAAAGGTTAGAAGTTGTTTCTCAGCGACGAAATTACCGCTCAACTATATATGCTACGTTATAAAGAAAGGGAGATTCACTGATGCAGACAAAAATGGATTTAAGGAATTTCAAAAAATATTTAAAGGAGGAGAAAGAAATTTTGTTATCATAATCACTAATAGCGATTCGAAATGGGTCAGCGAAAATAAGGAGACAATAAGGAAATATTTTGGAAATCATGAAATCATTGCAGTTGATTTTCCATTTAACGATGATTATGACGCCGATATTCAGAAAAAAAAGAGGAAGGAGAATGCGGCTCTTCTAACAAATTCATTATTGTCCCTAGGATTCGAATGTGCCCCATTAGATATTTATGGTTCGAAAGTCGAGTCAAAAGTGAAGGAAATCGTTGATTTTGTGCCTATTATTGGTACGGCATATAAACTTATCTCTGCTGGTACATATTATATCTTACAAAATCCACAATTAGCAAAGAAACGATTAAAGGAAGCGCTTGAGGACATTCCTAAAATTTTCTCTAAAATTCCTATCAGACTATTAACTAATTAAATTACAATCTAATTCATAATCTTTCAATATTGATGTTCCCACTCCTTAATTTAATTGTTAACAAGTTTATTAAAAATTTTTTTTGCTTTAAGGTATTTTCTTAACTGTTTTTAATTAGTAAATTAACATGATCATGTGGCGGTTTCGCCGCCTAGTTTTAACTAACTGACTATTGTCAATAGTGTTTGTAATCGACTTAAATTTATTGACTTGACTAAGCTGATATTTAAAATCGGCTTAGCTGACTAAACCAAGTCAATTACTTGTAGTGTAATGAATAAATTTATCACAGTATATTTCTCGCTTATCTTTTTCTTTTTTATTATTATTATTTTTATTATTATTAGTTATTTTATTTTATTATTTTATTATTTTTATTTTGCATGTATATATTATATTCTTTTTCTTTCCCATCAATTCCATTTAATTTTGATTACATCACGATGTAAACAATTTAATCAATTGTACTAAGCTAGTCTATCAAGTGAAGATGTTATATAAACGTAATATACGATTCTCTATAACATTCTACGTACATTCTTATTAGTCATTTGACATATTTTTTGTTTAAAAATTGGGAGAGCTGCTTTTATTAATAATAATGTCTGGTATTCTCATTTCGCATAATTCGCTAACTATAAATAAAAGATTATTAAACAATGCTATAACATAGAATAAACTAATCAAAAAATTTTAATTACCTTGATATATATAGCTACTATTAAGTGAAATAAAGCTACTTTTATAATGTGAATCAACATATATTTGTGTAAATTCATTCTTTACATTCAGTAGTTTTTTATCAGATTCAGCTAGCTCTGATAAAATATTTTCATTATTCTGCCATTCTGTAAAAATACTATAAATTTCTTTTGCTGTTGGTCGTGTTTCTGGCTCTGGGCTCCAACATTTTTTCATTAGATCTGCATAACATCTTGCTGTATCTTCATAAATTTGTGGTCTTAAACCTTTACATACTTGTATTTGAAATTGTATTTCAGATTTCTTTTCAAAAGGAATAGGCCTGCCATATAAAATTTCCCACATGATTATTCCAAATGAATAAATATCAGATTCTTTAGTATATATTTGCTTTATGAAAACTTCAGGAGCAATGTAAGGTAAAACTCCATAAATTCCATCAGATTCTGATTTTAATGCTATATTAGCTGTAATAGAAAGTCCTAAATCTGCAATATATGCACTTTTAAAAGTATCTTGTAGTATATTTCCACTATGTAAATCCCGATGAATAAGATCATGAGAATGAATTATCGAAAGATCAGATGCAATACATTGTAGCAGATTTAACTTATCATTCCAATCCAATTGTGCTATAATATGTAGATTTTTGCGTAAACAGCCTTCTGAGGCATAATTAATGACAAGGATATAATCATTAGAAGCTTTGTCTTTTGATATACCGAAACATTTTAAAAATGTTGGATTTTTAAGGCCGATATCACAATATGCTCTTAACTTATTATTAAAAAGAAATAAACATACAAATTATTAATATAAATGATAAATTACGAATAATAAAAATTTAAATAAAGATTACCTCTCTTATAAATTCTTTATGATAATTGTTCGATTCATGAAGTAATTTAAGGGCAACACTCCTTTCTAAATGTGGGCTTCCTTCATTCAATCTGGCATAATATACAGTTGCAAATCCACCTTCACCTATCACCCTAATATCTTCAAATTCATCATAAGAAATCCATGATAACTGATGCTTATTATCGACCAATATTTTTTTCAATTCATCTTCTATTTCAGAAATTTCAAAACTATACATCCATTTGATTGCATCTAATGTTTTTTATAAAGTGTCAGTTTAAATAAATTAAAAAATAATATAATTTATAAATTGCCATTTTAAATAAACCAAAAAAACATACGAGTTATAATAAGTTAAATATGATAATACCTGTTGCTAAATCTTTTATTTCTCTAATCGTTGATATAAAACAGTATTTGCATTAATTAAATATATAAACATATTTGATATATTAATTCGGCAGACTGTTGGAATTTTGACCGTAATCTGAAGTCTCGAAATTGGACATTTATTTGAATATATTAATAATGTGATATTATTTGTAGAATTCCAAATCTATTATAAAATAGATACAAATAAGGAATTTTAAATCCTCAAATCTGCCGAATTATAATGAATATTGTAATTTAATGCGTTGCGGCGTAACACTAACAAGGTCTACCATAATAAGGTGTAATTATCTTTTTTTTCAAAAAAAATCATTTATAACTTGAAACTTTGTTTCAAAAGTTGTATTATGTGATCTAACATTTTAGTCTATCTCTCTATCTCTTTTCTAACTCTGAGTTTAATTACAACTGACCTGATCTTATGATTTGGTTGTGTTGCGTCACAACTTACCTAAATTCAATTTTAAAACAAATTATAATTTACCTTTGAAACCAATATTTGGCTTTATTTAGGTCTCTTGTTGTTCCAATTCCATTTCGATAACATTCAGCAACTTTTGATATTCCCCTATCATTTCCCATTTCTGCAGACTTTTGATAATAAATAAATGCCTTATGCTCATTCTTTTCAACTCCAATTCCATATCGATAACAATGTCCAACCATATTTGCTCCAGCAGCGTTCCCCATCTCTGCAGATTTTTGATAATAAATGAATGCCTTATTTTCATCCTTGTCAACTTCAATTCCATGAAAGTAATAATATCCAACATAAAATATTCCAATAGAGTCACCCATTTTTGCTGATTTTTGAAAATAATTAAATGCTAAATGTTCATCCTTTTCAACTCCAATTCCTTTCAAATAACAATATCCAAGACCACATAGGCCAATAGCATCACCCATCTCTGCAGATTTTTGGTTATAAATGAATGCCTTACGTTCATCCCTTTCAACCCATTTACCATAAAAATAGCAACAGCTAAGAATTCTTGAAATAATAGGATTGATCGGATTGTTTAAGCAAAAATTGATAATATTAACAGGGTTTTGCTTCTTCTTTATCAGAAATTGTTCTAATGTTTCAAGAATTAAATAATGATATTTGCTTTTAAACCTTTCTTCAATATACAGATTACACATTTCCTTAATGATTTCATTTAGAAAATCCTGTGAAAAATCTTGCGACTTATTTTCTAAATACAGTTGATTAATATTATCGGCCATTTGAGTAATACCTGATGAACTGTTGATTTTTTCAGGTAGATTGTTGTAAATTGACATTTTTGACGCCAAAATATGTTAAGTATGAAAGTATCAAAGGTTATCGAATATATATATTATATTGCGCAATTTTTAAATTAGGTTATTTAGAAGAGGGAGTTATTATAATGTCAGATAGTTATGAAGATTAAAAGATGTGTAAAATAAAAAGGGATGATACGCGATATTGAGATCACAGGCTGACTTTACAAAACACAAAAAATTTTCAAGTAAATAATATTCGAACTTATATATTATAACAATGGACTCTAGAATTTAATGATTGGATCCGGTTTAAGGAAAATCAGAATATCCGGATATTAATTTGCGTATAAACCCGGTATAATGACGGGAAGCAGATTGATCGTCGACTTGCACCAGTAATTTAACTCCTAATACTATTAATTAATTAATTAATTAATTAATTAGAAATAAATATTAAGGAAACTCACCTTTAACATTAAAAAAAAATATTAAGGAAACTGTGATTCTATAAATAACTCAAAATTTACTAGGATAACCCTGTTGTGTAATTAAGTAAAATGCTCCTCTCGCAATTTTACCCTAACTCCAAACCTAACCATACTATGAATAGCTGTAAAATTTTTTTATAAAAATAACTGCCGTAATCCTCCGAAAATAAGCACCCTTGGCCTGCATTATAAAAAATTTTCTTGAATTATAACTATCTTGGCCAACATTAAGTGGGTGCTTATTTTCGGAGGAATACGGTATATTTGATAGTACGGCTACATATATTAAATAGAAATAAATTAAAAAGACTCGAAAAAATGAAGTAGAAATAAATAAATAAATAATTAATTAATTAGAAATTGCGAATGCGGGTGGCTTCGTCGCCTGTTTTAATAATAATGTATATAGAACAATGTTGTATTGTATGATAATAATTTAGGTAGTGTTGATAAATTAATGGTTTTATATTTCAATATTAATTGAGAAGCATTGCTTGATAGTAAATATTTACGAACATGAATGATCTATTTCAAATATATCAGTTTATTAACATTTATTTTTCACTTACTGTACCCCAAATTAACATGAAATTAATAATGAATAAAATGAATTCAAATATCTTAATTAAAGATTCCGAATCGTGCATTTTATCCTATCTCTAAGCTTGATATAGTACCCAAATATCTTATCTATTTAATTAGTATAATAAAGCAAAGTTATTAAAGTTGTTCTAGAATAAATATTGGATGTTCTATAGAATAGGTGGGCAGACTCCGCAAACTCAGCAACTCCACTAAATATTTATTAATGATTACTAATTAGTAGCGGAGTTTATTTTTTATATTGCCCATCTATTCTATAGAACATCCATGAACATTTAATTAATGTGAATTGGATTCTATTTTTGTGTAGGTTCTAGGTTTTTAATCGGCTTTGATCAATTCATCAACAATAATTTACAGACAAGGTTTATTTTACTAACAATTACTGTGATTCAAAGACAAGTTTATTCCATAGACATTATATTTCACCAACAAAGTAATTATAGTCATTGTTATTAGGAGTAAATTTAGAATTAGAGTTAAGGTTAGTATAATAAAAAATGGTCAATAAAATGAGCAGTGAGTAAAATATGGTGTCTATAAAATGAACTTGCTTGTTGGCAAACTAAGTTGTCTGTGAAAATATAAATTCATAATAGACAGAAAAATTGACATGATATATCTGTAAGATGCTTGAGGCCACTAAAAAAAACACCTAAATATAAGCATAATTGTATGCTATATAATTTTATGCTCTAAATACTTTAT